GAAATTTTTTGTTCTTGAATTACTTCGAATCGCAAGATTGAATAAGAAGAGATTTTCTTGAGCTGAGCTGCTAGCTAGGGAGATAGCACCGGCCATTTATGACGCCACATGGACCACAAAAATTGGGGAAACTAAAATTTTTGAATTTTTGGGGTAGGCTAAAAGACGTTGATTCCAAAAGTCTGAATTATTTCTAATTGGAGAGCTTTGAGTAGAGTTATAGCGATCCGATGACTCTCGACACGACTGTGTCTTTTATAGCATATTATAAGACCGGCTGTGACGGTTCTGAACAAAAGTTCTCATTACGTTGAACTCATCCTAATACCCAAGTTCAGATTCCGCTCTTTAATTCACAGTTCAATCTAAAGACTAGAAATAGAATTTGAGACGTAGACGTCTTGACTGTGTCGTTAAGTAATAATGTTTATATGAAGTATTACCCCATTGCGATTTGAGTTGTTGGAGGGATGTGTCATCTATGGGTAGTATGGGACCGAAAAAGTCTCAAATCTGTTATCTAATATAATTTAGGCAAAAATATTTTTGCCTCATTCTGTAGGCAGATCTATGTACGGAGTGTTTGACGAGACGGGCCTCCTCCAATATGGTCAGGTCTTCATCCAGTACTCTGTGTCGCTCAAAAAACCAAACGGAAAATTGAAGATTCATACTGGTGTGTAAGGCTATCTATTATAATGTATCGTACTTAACTCTAAATGTAATTAGGTCCCGTGATGATTACAAAAAATCCATGTCATGTCGCTGGAGATGTGAGAATGTTCACAGCCGTCTACCAGCCGGCGCTAGCGCATCTCTTTGATGTAGTTGTATTTCCTCGACATGGACCCCGTCCCCATCCAGACGAGATGGCTGGTGAATTCTGATGATTCGTAGTTGTAATTACCATATTCAGATTTGTAAAAGTTGCTTTGTAGGCAGCGATTTGGATGGCGACGAGTATTCAGTGATATTTGATCCAGATATCCACTTTGATCACAATGAGGAGGCAATGACATTTCCCAAGAGCACTCCCGACGACTTCGAATCTGTTCCTACGGGAAGTAACTTCCTGCAATTAAGTCATCTTTAATGGAGCTGTAGAAATCTGTTTAGACAGACGATATGGTTGATTTCTTCCTTAAGTACCTTAGACAAGATTCAATCGGCAGAATGAGCAACGCTCACTTGATTCTGGCAGATCGAAAAGGCTTGTTTGAGTGAGTACCTACCAAACCAGCTTACTGGAGGAAGAATATGTGCCCGAAGAAATTGCATTCTCATTTAGTTACGGAGATATTCTGATATATTGCTTTGATTTTTTTCAAGTGAGGTTTGCAACGGAATCGCGAGGAAATGCGCAATCGCCGTTGATTTTCCAAAAAGTGGAGAACCCGCTGAACCTTTAACCGTTCATGAGCAGAGTGATACTGTACCAGATTATATGTTTTCGGTAGTAAAGCCAATGTATCGAAGCCCACGCCTAAATGGTCAAATCTACAGGTGGAAGCCTGTTGTGCTTTCCAATCCATGATTCAGCCATGTATTCCAGAAAAGCTAAGAAGGTAGAAGAAGTGCTGGACATGGCTGAACTTACCACAAGCGTTTTCGAGCATGATGTGGACCAAGTCGATTTTATTTTGATCCGCACATAGCCT